TAAAATTGTTTGACGTTGGGTTTCTTGCTTAGATGAGGTCATTTTAATGCTTAATAAATTAAAATTTTTACTAACGTATGAGAAAAGTTTCGTTTGGAGGTGATACATGAATTTATAAATTCAATAGCGGTACTGAACCTCGATTTTAAAAAGAAATTTATAATCGACTTTAAGGACATTCTATATATCCTTTATTATCGTCCAATAATAAAAATAATTAAGACACTTCTCTAAAAATTGGATATGACTAAGGACTTTGTATTTCAGTTTGAAGAAAAGTAAAGGTTAATATGGTATGTAAGTTCTCATTAATTTTAGTTGGTCAACTTATATTTAAATTAGAATCACTTAACTTCAGTATGATTGTAGAATGGTAGTTTTTCTCGAATTTATGCCAAACAGTATAACTGTGATTGGTGACGATAAGTAGAATCTGATCTAAAGTTTGGAAAACAAGTTTTATCAGTAATATTATACTCTGATGCGACTCTTTGTGACAGTCTGGGTAAAACTCAGCAGCATCCAGTTTTCATTATTTTAAGTAATATTCCTTCATAGTAAAGAAATAAAAAGGATGCTAAAGCATTACTCAGTTACCTGCCAATTCTTTAAAGTAAGAATCAAATAATCAGAAAATCAGAATACTTTTAAAGACTTTCACGTAGAGTCATAAAAAAGTGTTAAAGTATTATGTTACGTCTTATTCTAAAACTTAAAGAAATGGAATTAATGGTTAAAGGTGTACAAATTACTTTCACTCCAAGGATCTCTATATTTATTTTAGATATGTTAGAAGCAGATGTGGTTACAAATACTTACAAGTCGACTAACTGTAAGATGCTATGCCTGAATTGTACAGTGTTGTTTGAAAACTTAAACAATATGAATCTTTCGAGAGATGATATAATCCTACAAACACCAGAATTAATGGCTCTCATAATTTAAGAAGGGAGGCCCATGATTATTTAATACATAATCAAAAAAATGTATTTTGGTATTTTCCGTAAGTAACTTCAATGATTCAATTTGATTGCTTGGTATTGTATAATTGTTTATTAATTATATATTAAATAATTCTGTTTAACACTTTAAAAGAAACTTAAATATATATAAAGCTGCTTTACCTGATCGAATGATCATCTAAATCTAGAACTCTTCAGATATATGATAGATTATATGCAAGAACTCTTAAATGAACAATGTAAAAGTTGGGCAATTAATGAATTTAACAATAGATTAGCAGCAATCCCAAAATTTCTTGGATTAAAAATCTTCAATAATGGTATTACCACTATACAAACAGCAAATAAGTATCAAATGATAATGAAAATAATAGTCTCAATACTTGATGGTTTATTTGATGACAATAACCTATATGTTAAAGAACAAAATCATAATAACGATCATCTATATATATCTTTAAATCGGCTAACTTTTGTATTTCTTTTTTTATTTGTATATATTTGATGAGCCGTAAAGAGGAATTTTTAGAAGAAGACCTATATGAATTTGAGGTAAATGATAATGAAATATTTTTCATAAATTATATAATTTTATTAAATATTATACTTATCTTGATAGAATTTGATCATAACGTGAAGTCATGAATTTGTAAATATATTTTCTCGATTTAATCCAAGTGGATTGCGTCTACCAAAACTACATTCTTGGAGATATTATGTGATTTCCGCTATTCATAGATTTGAAGCAATCAATGGATTCACAACAAAAACTTATGAGACTTTACATAAGTTTTACGTCAAGAACTCATATCAGAAAAATAACAAGAAGGTGGTTATAGGCCAAATCTTAAATAAGGTAATATTTTTATTAGTTTTGTGCTTGATTATTTATTATTGATCTAATACTTTAATCATATTACTATTAATAAATCACTTAACTTAGATTCGTCAAAAAGTATTAATAGAGACCACAGGTCATACTAAGATAAGAAAGGGTGGAACATTATCAGGTAAACTTTGGGATTTATATTTATCATCACTTGAAGAACATTTGTGAGTTTTCTGATGTTTAGAAACTATGGATCCTTTGCAAGTCGAAGGAGTCAAAAATCTACTCTCAACTCTTGATACTTTTTTGGATAATACATCTATAACATCTCTTAATAATGATGAAAGTTTTGTGCGGTTATATAAATATGTAGTGCTGCAATTGATAGACATTATATGTGTTGATTCATCTTATAATAATGCTTCATAGTTTAGCGATGTTACTATTGTGATAGACGCAGTAGAAGCTATTAATTATACTATAAATCAAGGAACATGTTTTGGAAAGGCAATTATGCAATTATTATTATTATATTTAAATTTTTTATTTTTATTGTAAAGTGACCTTTATATATTTAAATTAGGTATTACTATTAGGAGAAATATTCATAAATAACTTACATAGATTTGCTTTTGTAATGGTGAAATGGTATGATTATTGTGAACTAAGCAAAAGTGATCATAAAGCATCAGAAATCTACGGATGTCCTCAACTATCAATATTAAAAGAATATAATGTAGTGCTATTAGATTCCATAGTAAGAGCCATTCATATTATACTAAAGTTTCATAAAAAAAATCAGTTTTTAGTAAATATGTATATTTTTTAACAAATTACAAAATTTCAAATATGCAAATATGAAAAGAATATATAAATAAAAAAGTACAATTTTAAGACAAAATTGATTTAAAACAAATCATTGTGACTGGGTATTTATGAATATTTAAACACATATGTTACTAAAGATTATACATATTTGGTCAATTCTGGTAATCTTTGCATATACAAACTTCTAATACAACTTATTTAGACGAACATCTTTAAAATCATATATATAATCATTTTTTTTAAATATAAATTATCAAATAATAATCTCTGATAATAATCATCTTATTTGATCTTCTGATGATTCTAATTCATCATTGAAGCCGTGATCTGTGACTGTGCTAAAATTAAGTCATGTGATCTAATGATCGACATAGTTGACGAAGTTGATGAAGTTGACAGAGTTATTAAAGTTGTCAATATTGATCAAGGGGATATATTAGACATATTTATCATATTTGTTATATTTGTTATATTTGTCATAGTTGATTTTATATTATTTTATTTTATATAAATATCTTGTATTTTCCCTTGGGTTAAAAAGTAACTCAAGTTGAGGTTTTAGGATAAACCAAGAGTTCAATAAAGGAATTGTTAAATTCATTTACTATTGCCTTTTGTCGTGTTTTCATATAGACGTGATTGTAATATTATCTTATATTTAATTCGACGGATTGAATTAAAAGTTTATCGTTTAAGTTTACAGATACCAAGCCAACATCATCAGTATAATGCATTGATTTTTTTTCCTTTAATTTTGATAATGTTTTCTGATTTTTTTTCATTTTGTAGGAGAACTGGCATCAGATTGCTTTAATGATCTGAATAGTTGTAATCTTTCAAATCAGTCAAGTCTTAATATTAAAAAAGAAAAATTAGTTATTGTAAATATAGAATATTAATATATGAATTTTTATCTCTCTTGTAAATCTTCATTTTTCTTGCTAAATTTCTCATTTATTTTAGCAAGAAATCAGTTTTTTCTCAAGAGATCAGAATTTTATCACTCTAATTTCTTGATTCTCTTGGTAAATTTAGCAACTTTTTCTTTTAACATTTGATTTTTTATGTAGAAATAAAGAAAATATTGTTAATTATAAAATAATGAATGAAAATAAATCAAAAATAATATACCTGATTGTAAATTGTTTGAATTATTGAGAATTTTAAATTCAGTTATAACTGAAATACTTGCTATTGGTTGTCATCAAAATTTTGATAGGAGTCAAATTTTCTCATATTGTCTTTGAATTTCTCCTAAATCTACGTCTATAATTTGAAAAGTTATTTAGTATTAATATAAAAATAGTATTATATTATGACTAACTTAAGATCTAAAACAATTAGTTCATTTTCAGACGATATTGTATGAACTTGTTTTTGTCTTTTTTTTATTATAGAAAAGCAAAAAAATCAGTTATCATTTGAAAAATTGGCTGGTTGATTGATAAAATTCAATTTATGTTCTAGTTTTTCATCAGTCAATTTATTTCATTAAAAGCATTTTATTAATATTATTTATGACTAAGATTCTATTATAAAAAAGCAAAAATAGGTTTATCATTTGAAAAATTAGCTGATTAATTGATAAAATTCAACTTATATTCTGGCTTTTTATCAGCTAATTTTTTTCATTGAAAGCATTTTGTTAGTGTTATTTGCGACTGAGATTCTATTATTAGAAAAACAAAAAAAATCAGTTATCATTTAAAAAATTGACTGATGATTGATAAAATTCAACTTACATTCTGGCTCTTCATTAGTCATTTTTTTTGTTAGAAGCATTTTGGTAGTGTTGCTAGCGATTGAGATTTTATTATAAAAAAGCAAAAAAATAGGTTTATCGTTTGAAAAATTAGCTAGTTGATTGATAAAATTCAACTTATATTTTAGCTTTTCAACAGCCAATTTTTTTCGTTAGAGGCATTTTGTTAGTGTTACTGTTGATTGAAATTCTATTATATAAAAGCAAAAAAAAATCAGTTTATCATTTAAAAATTAGCTGATTGATTGATAAAATTCAACTTACATTCTTTTTGTTTTTGTGACAATTTATTTGTTTAGCATTTTAATGGTATTTTACGAAAAGAAAAATTATAAAAAGAAGAAATTAAAAGAAGAAATTTATTTGTAAAGATAAAGTTTGATTTAAAAAGCTAAAGTTTGAGTTGAAATTATTTTTTTAAGAAGTGGAAAAATCAAGCTTATTTATATAAATTTTTATATATTTACCAGAAATAAACTCAAATAATTATATCAGATAATACATTAAATCAATATAATATTTAAAGTAAATTGAAAACAATTATTTATGTAATATAATACTTTAATTATGCATTAAAAAGACTAAAGTAAATCAGAAACAATTTATCAATATATTAAATCAAAATGCACTTAAAGTAAATCAGAAATAATACTTTTATTATGCATTAAATTAATATAAGATTCAAAAACAATTTATCAATGCATTATATCAAAATATACTTAAATAAATCAGAAATAATACTTTCATTATGCATTAAATTATTATAAGATTCGAAAATAATTTATCAATGTATTAGATCAAAATGCACTTAAAGTAAATTAGAAATAATACTTTCATCATACATTAAATCAATATAAAAATAAGAAATAATTTATCGATATATTAGATTAAAATGCATTTAAGTAAATCAGAAATAATACTTTTATTATGTATTAAATCAATACAAAATTCAGAAACAATTTATCGATGTATTAAATCAAAATAATTTAACAAAAATAGTTATAAACATTACAATTATTTTAAAAAGGAAATTTGTTTAATTGTTTACACTTACTAAAAAAGGAAAACAATAGTTTAGTATAATAATATAAATATTTGCAAAACTATTGCATTTTTTAAAAAAATATAAAATTCAACTAAAATTGTCCTCAAAAATAACCCCATTTCAAACTTTTATTTTTCTCTTAATTTCTCAATTATAAAATAAAATGAGCTGAAAAGGTCAATTTATAAAATATGTGGTAATGATAATAATAATTTATCTAGTCAATCTTTTAATACATCTTCTTATAGAAGAAATAAATTGATTCTTAAATTAATCGATAAAGAAGATATTTTTATTTTTAATTTTCAAATACACCTTCTCATAGAAGAATAAGTAGGTTAACTGGTAATTTAACTGATAAAGAAAATATATCTACTTCTAGGCTATTAACTTTTCATAATACTAGAGTTAGATATTAAGATTCACAAAGTTCTATTTTGGATACATTTCATCAATTCGAAATACAAGATGAAATGGAAAAATCGTCAACATTGACTTTGACTGGATGAATTATAGAAATCATTGAATATGAATCTGATGATAGACATCAAGAAGATTCTACTTTTTACCTTAGAGACGTGTAAGAAAATACACAAATCATTTCTGATGATCCTGAAACAGAAACTGATCAATATTCAGAATCTTTAAAATTTATTACTAAAGAAGATTATATTACAGGTGAATCTGAAGATGATGATATTTTTGTAGAGAATGATTTTAAAACTTTTGAAGATTATGCATTATCAGATTATGAGTCATTTCAAAATCCACTAAATACAAAATCAATTAATAACTGATTTTTGTAGATTTTACTTTGGGTTATGTCATTTTGGACAAGATTCAACATTTCAAAGTCTGCAACTAAGGCATTAATAAAATTTATGAAATTAGTTTTGATAGAAATTAGAGGTGATAAATTAGAAAAATTTCAAATTCAATATATTTAACAAAAAAAGCATTTGGATTAAATGATCAATTTTACCATTTCGTTTCTTATTTCAAATGTCATAAGCTGTATCAAAAACAGGAAGTAATCAATTTTCAACAGAATAATATGTTGACTATAATAAAATGTAAGTATATAGAATTTCTCAATTTATTAATTCGCAAAATACGATTTTACAATATTTTGTTATCTGAAAAAATCGTATTAATAAATCAAACTTTAATTCAACATAATTTAATCTTTCTATTTTCTGGAATTTAACAACAACTCACTTCTATGTATCTTTGACCTAATTTTGAAACTAGCCTGAGATAATGGACAAATTGTTAGCATTTTGACAATATTATAACTGATATATATAATGGTGAAGTGTGACAAACAATAAAAGGATCTTAATAAGAAAATTTGGCAATTTTTTTCAAAATGAAGTGACTGATTCTCATCTTGGATTAATGCTAAATCTTAACTAGTTCCAGCAATATAGTAGTACTATTTATAGTATTAGAGTAATATATGCTGCTATATGCAATTTGCTTCATTATATTTGATTTAAACGTAAAAATTTACTGACTCTTGATCTTTTACCTAGACTAAGCAAAATCAATTTATATAAAATAAATCACTATTTAACGCTGATTGTAGATGAATTGAAATCATTTTGGGATGGATTTACAATAGATAAAATATATAAATATTCTGAAGGAAAAAACATTATGCAGCTTTAATTCTTATTTCATGTGATGAACTGGCTGCTAGAAAAATATGTGTTCTTAGTATTATATCATAGATGCAAAAAGAAGGCAAATTATAAAAATCATCACACAAATTTTGTTAGAATAGATAATATT